TTCCCTTTTTCTGGCTCTCTACCGTAAATTTTTTGAAAATTAAATAAGTTTGGAACCAGCAGATGGGATAGTGGTTACAACACTGTAGTACTCCCACATACTCCCGTGTCGTCTACAGCATTTCAAGTCCCCAACCCAGCGGCTTAAACTCACTCTAAGTGTGTGTGCATGCACGCCCAAAATCCCAAGAGGAGAATGAAGGAGAAGAGATTGCGGCGTGGCCATTCCCCCTGGGGGATGAGTTCTTGCTTTCTGTCTCTCTGTCTCGGTGTCTCTGGTGACACACATGCACTATAGCAAAAATCTCTCCAAAGATATTAAACAAGTATTCATTACTGAATGTTGTAGAAGCCGGCGTTCATGATAATGATGCCTTACACTGTGGCCTACCATGCTTAAAAGCCAAAAGAATCAAGTTGACAAAGGAAACCTAAGACATGGATATACTTAGTAAATGTCTAAACCCAACGTTACTCTAACTTTACTGCACCAACATTTTCTACCACATAACATTGTTCATTTTAATGCTATTAGTGTTACGATTATATCTGCACTGAATTTTAAAAGCATCTTGGTCTTATAATGTATAAAAACTATTTAATATTTGTACATATTTAAAGTTATGTAAAAATAATTTAGTTTGACACTGGAACATTTCAAAAATGTCTCATTACCTAAATTTAAGGGGGAAAGTGCTAATATTTATTTATCCATTTAACACCTACTTGCTAATCCTAAGAAATTCATCTATTCAGGTACCATAAACCTGTCTCCAGAAGATCCGGGTAAAAACATTTTGCTGTGAAAAAATTATTAGCGTTGGGGGCCAGCAGATGGCATGGCAGTTATGTCCCTGGACTCCCACACAGCCAACCACAGTTCAAGTCCGGGACCCAGTGACTTGAAACTCAGGCCAGGAGCATGTGCAGCTTCTGCAAAATCCAGGGAGGAGAATGGAGAAGGAATTGCGGTGTGGCCATCCCCCCTGCGAGGTGAGGTGATTTCTCACTTTCCCTCTCACTGTCTCTCTCTCTCTCTTTCCAGTGAGCACATGCATTCTAAGGCAAAAACTCAAAAAAAGAAAAAAAAATTATTAATATCATCCTTTGTGTCTAGCATAAAAAGCAGGAACACAGACTTTTGAGAACTAATGTCTCTTGATAAATTAAGAAGTGACTGCCTCAATCAACAAGCACTGTTGATTAATTTTTAAAGGCTATCCCTGAAATAAGCAAAAAGACAGAGAACAAAAGTGAAACTATCAAGCCACTGGGGAAGGAAAAATATGGAGGTCTCCAAATGAATATGTTAGTTGAAAACATAAACCGTTTCTTCTTAGCTCGCTCTGTCACCCGTCTTGGAAAAGGAAAGGATGTTTTTACAATCAGAGCAGAAGTGGCCTGGCCACTCCTCCATTTACATTTCTTTGTTGCGAAATGAATGTAACTTGTTGGGATTCCAGCAGTGGAGAAAGCAGCAGAAGTAGTGGTTACTTTCCAAAGTGAAACTTAAAACCACAATCTCCGGTGCACAAAGGCAGAATGAGTCACAGGAAGAGGCCACTTGCTTGCAAAACTCATTAAAAGCAATGCAGGGCTGAATGGACTTCCTGCACCAATGAAAGATCGCTGGCATCGGGACAGGCAGCTCCAGGCTCCGACAATTTGGAGGAGGAAGGGAGCCATCAGAAATCTGGGCACAACCCAGGTCCGCTCCTTCACCGCACTCCTCCCCCTCCCACCCTGGCTGCCCTGAAGCTCTGCCCGGAGTCCCCTCCCAGCTGGGACCAGCTCACATCCCAGATCCCTGGGAAGGAGGTTGAGAAGCTGAGTACCAAAGGGCCACAACGACACCTTGTGACTGAAGAGAGCACCTGTGCTGGGTTTCCTAGCTCCTTTTCTGGAGCGTGGCGAGGGCAGCCCATCTCTCCCAGGGTTCCCCTTTGGCTGCAGATCCCGTGAGTGCAAAGCATTTCGCATTCGCTCAGGCCAGGCCATATTCAGGGCCGGAAGTGAGCCCTGGCCATACCAGCTGCTACCTGGGCACGGCACCTGAGGCTCCCACTGTCTGGCTTGTTGAATTTGGGGATGCATCCAAATTCCTTGAAAGACATTAAAGCAGATTGCTGGGCCCTGCCCATGCTTGGATTTAGCAGGACCAGGGTAAGGGCCTTTGGGGCTGGAGCTGCCGGCAGAATGCACTTGGACAAACACAAATTCAAATGGGTTTTTAGACGGGAACAGACATAACCACAGTCGGCTCCTCTCCCAAGCCAGGTAGTCATGATTGACCTCCGACTGTGCCAAACGGTGGCACTTTGGTAGCAAAGCGGTCCCCTTCAGGAAGGAGCTCCCCTGCCCACACGTCTGATCCTCACCTGGCAGGTCTCCAGGGCCTGCACTGCGGAGGGGCCTTTGTCCAAGCAGAGACAATGGGTTTTACAGGCTGTGCTGCCAAACCAGAAGCAAGTGTGCCCCCAGGTGGCCGTTCAGGCCCACGACTTCTAGGGTCAGCTCTGTCCCGTCCTGGTTTCCTCCAGGTATGGGGAAGCCCGCAGCAGGAGTTGAAAAGGACAGGGGCTGGCCGAGGGAGTGGGTAGGAACAGAAAGGCAGGAAACCCACTGCCATGTTAGCCACCTTCTCTTTGAGGCTGGGCCCCCTGGACAGGGCAGGGCACTGCTCCGCTCCCTGAAGACAGCATTCAAGCGTAGAGGGGAGGCGGGGACATCGGGGTGATGGGACGGAAGCTGTTTTTCCTTTTTCATTTTTTTCAGAGAAGTCTACAAACATTTCCTCACGGCAATTCTTTCTAGGCTGCGCGAAGGCCAAGGGCACTTCCTGTCTGTCTGAGGCCCACAGCTGATGGCCAATGAGCCCCCTGGCCTCGGATCCCAGGCTGCAAGGGTAGTGGGGTGTCAACGTTGGAAACCAAGTGAGAAAGTCTCTTCCACACTAGGGACGACGGCTGAGGCTGTGGGAGATCCCAGCTACACTCACTCGCTTCCCTCCCTGTGTCTGAGAGCTGCTGCAGCCCTGCCTGGTGACGGCACGGCCTCCGGGTGCCAGCAGCAGACCGCCGTGCAGAGTGACGTGACGGCAGTGTGCGGGGTCGCCTGAGCACAGAGGACGGTCTACACTCTTTTGTTTTACAGATGAAAGCCCCAGCACATGAAAATCGGAGTGGGGATAGGGCTGTGATGTTCAACAAAATGAGAGGCTGTTTTTTTTTGGGGGGGGTTGCTTTCTGTTTTGAAGATGCACAAGTGTTCATTCTCCGGATGCCCAGAGATGAACTGTTCGGATCTGGGCTCCATGAGGTGTTCGGCCTTGTATTAGGGCATGTTTTAAGCATATAGAGAACAGTACTCTTCCGTGTACTCCAAAAACACTAAGACCAGCACAGGCCAATCAGTAGGCGGTCTCTAGCCACGTGCATGATGCAAAAAACTCAACAGACATGATGGCAGTTTCCGGCTGATCGCTCAGGCTAGTCATGGGTGTTGATCCTTTCCGAATAATAAGCAAACCCGGAGTGCACCACAGACAAGTCGAGGGTCCATGTTGTGAAGGTAGCGGCCGTGAGGCCAGCGAAGCCCCACATGTGAGCCACAACTGTGCCAGGCCTGGGAGGTGCCTCCTGAACATCCCTGAAGTGAGGCCTCGCCATCCCTAACATCCCCAGGGTAGGGGGGAGCCCCGGTACGGTCCTTCCTTCTCGCTCTTCAGCCCCCGTCCCTCCCAGGCACATAGGCAGGGTTCATATTTTACCCACATGAATCTAAAACTTCAGAAAAGATATTTATTGCAAAGAGTGAACAGTTCATAACTGTAAGGATTGTTTTTGGAAATAAAATAATATGCTTGATAAACACATACAACAACTTAATAACTTAAACCATTTAAAAGTCTCATGCCTGATTTTCCAGAGTCTTTCAATAGTTTCATTTATTACAATATTTTCTAGCTTCGCACTCAGCACAACACAGTGAAGTATTACAGTGATTTTTGTTTTTAATCATTGCACCAGCATATATAAATAAAGAGCAAATGTCGTAAATAAAATAGATTTAAAGGGGTGATCTGAACCCAACAGGGAAAAGGGAATTCTCTTTAAAAGCGTAATCACTTTCCCCCACAGTACCAGGCATGTTTTCCAGAAGCCGTGAGGCTGAACTAGCCCAGCATTCCCAGGCTCTCACCCAGCGTGATTGAGTGTGGCTTCCCAGGGGCATGCACTGTTTCGGGGACCGTGATGTGGAAGTGTAAGGGACACTAAGGTTAGGAGTCCAAAGCTGCATGCTCTGAAACTTCCACCAGGAGAGTGGATGACAGAGGGTCACCCCGACGAAGGGCACACTGGACAAGGGACAGGGTGCCCACTCTCGAAGCAGACTCCCTCTGGGCACAGGGGAGAAGCTCGGAGCCTTTGCAGGCCCGTGAGCTGACACTCAGTTCACAGCAGTTAAAACCACTCAGAAGGGAAGAATGAATGGGCCCAGAGTATCTGGTTAAGGCAGGACTATGAGCAATGGTTTCTAAAACCTCCATAAGAGCACGTGCACACACAAGGCCGCGTTTCTGTGCAGATCTGCGGCCATGGACTTTGCCTCTCCGCACGTGCCCACACGAACCGCCCAGCACAGGTGCCCGTTCTCACGGAGCCCATGGGCTCCAAAGGCAGCCACTCGGGCTTTTCTTTCACAGAAAGAGTAAGGTTTCATCCGACTATTCCTTTTATTTTTTGCTCCTATGACTACCAAGGATGTTTCAATAGGGAAGGACTTCCATCACTGGAGTAAAACACTCTTTTCAAAAAAGAATACTTCCAAAAGTAAAGCGAGGTCTTTTAGCAAAATAAGTCTTCCATTTTTCACACCGCTCTCTCCCCAAGCCATGTAATAAACAGGCATCAGCTGCTACTGGATTCAAGCGTGTCACTCAAACTACTCGTTTTTCACGTGCCCTTAATTAGAGTGGGAAAAGCTAAGGAAAATAAATGACTCCTAAATTCGCAAGGAAGGTCACTGTCAGACACGCAGAATGAGGCCCTCTGGCTGGCCTGGCACGTCCATCTTTTTAACAGACTCATGACAGCTGTAACAGAATATGGCGAAGGGCTTAGAAGGGTAGCCCAGTCAGAGTCAAGGACTAGATAATACCTACGAAGAATATAATTTCACTTCTTAAAACTATTTTCTTAAAACCAAGCAGCATCCTTTCAGCATTCCCGTAAGAATCAACCTCATTGTCACGGCGTAAGCTCTGTTCAAGTCCACGTTATCAGCAGCACCTCGCTGGATCCGAGCGTGCCTGCAATGTGGGACTGATTCGAAATACTGCCTTAGTCATCTTTACTGTCATTTTAATTTAAGGTATTGCAAAGTTACCAAGAGCTAGACAGAGCATGTTCTAAATGAAATGCCTGTCATGGGTGCATTAAGGCATAAATATTGCAGCCTTAAGCCACACAAAAAATAGGGGAGGAGGGTACAATATGCCCATGACATAGTCCATCTAGAACCAAAGGAATTAAAGAGGAACTTACCACCTAAAAAAGAGGCTAGTCCATAAATACCACAAGGGAACATCCTTCAAGCCCAGGCCCTGACCCAGGGGGGTTTGGATTCCCTTCAGAGACCTCAGATTTGGGTCGCGTGACCCTTCATGGCCAAGTGCAGAAGGGGGCACGAACACAGCTGCAGTGGAAATGATGTGCCCCCGCTCTACAGAAACGTGCCCATCTGGCATTCCTCGCTCGATGCCACCGTCAGGGGACAGCCCATGGACAGCTGCCTTCTGCTTGGTGTCCTAGGCCCGTATTGCACATTAGCCGATACCTAATAGCGGAGCAGGCTGGGGACGCAGGGCCATAGCTGGCATCAAGCTACAACCGAGGAGTGCTCTCCACACCAAGGATGCACCTGATTCCTCGCCTGTGGACTGCGCCCTTTCTATCTCAGAAATGCCGCCGCCCAGGGTGGGGCAGGGCAGAATCGCTCCTCCACCCTCACTGCTCTTAAGCAAGTGACTGCACGCCAGGCTCCGGAGCTCTAGCGCTCGATCCCCAGACCCTGCCTTTAATGGGTGAAGCCCAGTCTCTGCACTGCTGTCAAGAGGCCGTGTGGCACATTTTACGCCGAGGCAGAATGAGCGTCCTGGTTCTCAAAAGGGGGAGGTGGCTCTCTCCAAAAGGTGAAGTTACTGAAAGTATCTGAACAGGGAAAATCTGAAGAATGGCTTCTTTTCAGCAAAGGGAAAACGTGGTCAACCACTTCACAGAGCCTCACGTACCTAGAAGGAAACAGACATTGTCATCAGCCAGAGTGACCGTCACCACGCTGCACACGAGCTACGCACCTTCGAGGTCAGGGGACATCTACGGCCCTGAGAAGCTGACCGCCGACTTCATCCAATGGAAGGAATTCTGCAGTCATTTCTTACTCGTTAGCCAGCAATCAGAGGCAAGGACGAAGACTACGCAAAGGAGGATTTGGAAGCTCACTAGCATGAAGGCCCAGAGACCCAGGAGCTACTCCTGCCTCACTTACTGTGTAAACTTGGGCAACTGTCTTGCCCTCTCTGGGCCTCGGCCCCTTCATCTTTACAGTGAGTGGAGTGAGACTACAGTTAGATTCTATTTTCTGTATACTCCCAAGCAGATGGCATAAATTTGTTTCTGAGGCCTACACGAAGGAAGTTGCTACATTAAATATTGCACTTTAGATCTCCAGGCACCTCCACTTCCGGCCTTCAGGTTAGGAGGCTTCTGAGGCAGTCCAGGGGTCCTGCTAGCCTGTCCCACTAGACTCTGACATACCCAGCCCTCTCCTGCATGCCCCAGACCCATCCTTGAAAGGCACTGGTGCCACCTGTGATTGCAATTTGCTAAGAACCTAAAGCGGCTTTGAAGTTCCAACTCCAGGGACCAGCGCATTCTGAGGCATGAAATAACTTATCTAAGAAGGATGCACGTGTGTGAATTAGTAAAGGCCCTCCAAAGGACTGAGGAGAAACAGCATGCTTGCACAAAATGAGAAAAGTCTCTAAATAAAAAAACAAAACGTATATCTTTCCTGCAGATTAAAACAGATTTCTAAAGTACCTCCGGCCTGCAGGCCTATCTGATTGAGGTCTGTGGCTCTGAGAGGTGCTCCTGCCAGGCTGCGGTGGACACCAGAACCAGAACTGCTCCGGTGCTCTGAGCGGCACGGCCGAGCTCCCCCCAGCATACCTCTCTCACCTGACCTCCACACACAGGGCCCTCGGAGCAAGCAGAGCCCACGCACCAATAATGCAAAGGCACAGAGCGCTGGGCTACCCGCCAGCAGGGCCCATCCAGCTGAAGACACTACAGAATGTTGCCCCAGGTTCCGAGGGACGGGCAGCCACGGCTGATGTTCAGCACCAACAGTGTGTGCACCCAGGAGAGGGAGGGCACCCCCTAACGGAACGCGGCCTCAGAAATGGACAAGGCAAGAAGACAGCGGTCTGCCTGGATGGAGGTCACCCAGTGGGCAGCGTGCTCCACACACAGGATGAAGAATTTCCTCGTTCTCAGAAATTAGGAACCCAAGGAGAACCCAATAAAGTTGGCAGAGCTTCTACAGCAATCCAAGATGCCTCATTAGAAACAGGAATCTAATTTAGGGACCAGCAGTTAGCGTGATAGCTATGTTGCTGAACTCCCATGTAGCTGACCGTGGTTCGAGTCCCGGACCCGGTGGCTTAAACTCACGCTGGGCACATGTGCATGCGTGCCCAAGATCCCGAGAGGAGAATGGAGGAGAAGGGATTGCAGCATGGCCATCCCCCCTGGGGGATGATTTCTTGCTTTCTGTCTCTCTGTCTTTCTGGTGAGTGCACGCGCCCTATAGTAAAAACTTCTCCCAAAAAAAAAAAAGAAACAGGAATCTAATTTAACCCACCTACTCAAGGAAACTGGGCTTTGACCAAAACTATGAGGGGAATTCTTAACAATTACACAGCAGTGTTCTCGGTGAGAAACTGCATGTGAAGAGATACATACTTCCCCAACTTTAAATAGAGCTTCACGTCGTTCCATTTGGTCCCATTTCTAATTCACATTCTAGGCTTTCAAACCCCACTTGGCAAATCTAAACTACTAGTTTTCAAATTCATTCAATTCCATTCTGCAGCAGAATCTAACTGCTACTTTAAATGTGAGACCCCAAAGCCATCTGATTTCATTCCACTTTTCTAAAGCTTCAGTTTTAGAGAAAATACACCAAGTGGAAACGTGCTTCTCCTTATAGGGGCTAAAGACTAAACTACAACGAAGGATGGAAAAGGGCAAACCGCAAAGCACCGTCGCACAATGAAGGGAGCAGCGGACTGGACTGCGGCGCAGACGCACGGCCACACGGTACTCACGAGGAGATGTTGGTCTTCGCGTGTTCCTGCACGAGCTCTCCCTTCGGATTGACAGTGAAAATCCTGTTCAGAGACACGCCGACTTGCTTGTATGAATACACATCCTATATTGGGGCGGGAGATACGGAGTGATTAGAACGAGAGAGTTCATTGTTAAAACAGGCATGGTTATCTCTGACTTGATGTCGGTGTTGCATTTTCCTTAACCAGATCTGGACCTCACCACGCTGCAGCACCAGAATAGCCTTGGCGGGGAACTGTGAGTCTTCCTCTCCAGACCCCAGTTCCCTCACCTGCTCAGGAACGGAGGTAAAGGGAAGAAAACCTCCTCTCCCTGCTGTTCTAACAGTCCTGAGGGTTAGTCTCTGCCCCATTTTCTCTTCCATGATTTTCAGAAGGAGAAGGATTTTCAGAGGGAGCAGATGGTGTCCAGCTACGTTCTCTAGAACACTGGGCTCCCCAGTGAGCTTGGGCAGTTCACCCAAAATCTCAAAGCATGTTTCTTATCACATGAGACAGCACCAAACTAGAGACATTGGATGCATCGCTGTAGTCAGGATTGTTTGGTGGTTCGCTTCTGGTAGGAAGGATGGAATCCCACTAAATGTTCTTGTTTTACTCATTGAACAGGGAATTAGGAATTCAGACTTCGTAGCCCCACATCTCAAAAGCTTCAAACACACTAGTCAACGTTCAGAAAAAACTAGAGACCATGAAATAATGTTTAATCTCCTTGCCTTTAAACGTAGGCCATTTACCAGACGCTTTCTCTTTCTTCCTTCTGTTCTTTCAATTGCCAGAGAGCATGTGTGCTCACCAGAGGAAGGAAGCATTCTCACCAGAACTGTTCATGCCACAGTCCCTTCTTTCCATTTCTCATCCCATCAGGATGTGGGGCACACACACACACGTGCCTGGCATATTTTCCAAGTCAGAGAGGCTGGGATTTGAACCACAGCTGGCCATGTGGGATCCAGATCCCTTAACCACTGTGCTATGGGGCCAGCCCACCAAGCTAGTTCCACTTTCTCTCCTTTTATAATATTGCTCAAGTGTGCATAAGCTCACTAGAGAGACAGAGAGAGAGAGAAAAGGGAAAAGCACTTTGCTGGGGGAGATGGCTACACTGCAATCCCTTCTCCTCTCAGGATTTTGTGTACGCACGCACATGCGCCCGGAATGTTTACCACACAGTTGGCTAAGTGACAACCATGCTGGCACTGGGCCCCAGGCTAAGTCTTACAGAATAAGAATCTGGCTCTACGCGGAGTTTACAGCCAGGGCCGTCAGCAGTGACCTCAGAGCCCTCATGCGCCCAACTACCACTCACAGCAGGTCGGTTTCCGAAAGCAGCATAAAAGGGTTCCGTGTTTGGGAAAAACAGGTTTTTGATGTCTGTCAAGCACTGGACTTTAAACTTCTCTGGCTTCTTTTCAATCACTTCTCTGTTAAAACAAACAAGTAAATAATGGATCAGCATGAGCGAATAAGCTTGTCAGCATCCAATTACCTTTAACAGTCAAAGCTGCCAGGGCACCGAAAGCACTTTCAGATCATCAAAAGTTAAACAGATGTCAGTTAACGTCCCAGGAAAACGGACGGTGCAGGGTCCTTTCAAGTCCCCTGGGAAGAAAACACTAAGGAACAATGAGTTTCCCTGAGAATGCCACTGTCACCCAGGAAAAAACTCCACAGCACGGGAAACCAAGAACCTCCAAACATTCACCTTCGGGGGAAACCGTGTGCCACGTGTGAGTCACTCTCGCTGTGACTGTGAGAACAAAAATCCCGCTTACATGTAAACCGCAGTTGGGCTTATTCTGGTAATGCAAGAGTAGTCTGATACTTAAAATTAATTCATATAGCATAGTAATCTGATTAAAAGAGAAAAGACATGGTTGTCTCAACAGATTCAAAATGGGCATTTGATACAATTCAACATCTAATCAGGATGAAAACTCTCAACCAGGAGTGGGAGGAAATATTGAAAACCTACACTCGTCCTCCTAGTGAAATAACAGTGTTCTCTATCGCTATTTCAACCCAGAACTGCAGTGCAGTAAAGCAAAAACAAAACCAGATAAATGTTATAAGGATTAAAAGGGAGGGGCTGGAGGGTGGCAGGGTGGTTAAGGGCATTGGACTCCCACATGGCTGACTGCAGTTCAAGTCCTAGATCTGGTGGCTTACTTTCTTCCTCTCTCTCTCTCTCTCTCTCTCTCTCATTCCACTCCTCTCTGGCCAAAATAAAAATATATAAATAAGTAAATAAATAACTAAAGTTAAATGAAATAATTCTTTTTTTAAAAAGGGAGGGGGGGTTGGGGAGCAGCAGATGGCATGGTGGCTAAGGTGCTGGACTCCCACATGGCCAACCACAGTTTGAGTCCTAGACCTGGTGCCTTGCTTTCTCACCTTCTCTCTCTCTCTCTCTCTCTCACCCACTCTCTGTCTCTCTCTGGTAAGTGTGCATGTGCCGTAGCAAATTTTAAAAAATAATAATGATAAATAAAATTAAATGATTTTTTAAAAAAGGGATGTGGGGGACAAAACGGTCAGACTTGCCTGGAGAACAAAGGGGGAACAGAAGGATCTGCAGATGAGTTATCAGAATTAGTAAGAATTTAACAAGGCTAGGCCCAGGTGAGGTGACACAGGCAGTAGGGGCACTGCTCTGCAATGCTGGACCATGTAAGAAGATTCCAGGTTCACTTCCTGGGTCCACCTGAACACACCCATCCCCTTCTTCCCCTCTTTCTTTCCTTCCACTCTCTCTCCACCCTTGATATGAAGGAAATAAACTTTTAAAAAATATTTTAATAATGTTAATAAGTCAACATTAAAAAAAAAAGAATGTAAAAAACCAGTTGCATTTCTATGGATCAAAAACAGACAGGAAGCAGAACATCACGACCCTCTTGCCTCAGGTCCAGCGTAGATACGACCACAGGTGTGTGTCCCCACACAGCTCTTTCAGGCTTGATGTGTTCCCTTCGCGGGTGTGGGCTCACAATCCTCCTGCCTCAGCCTCCCAAGCAGTTAAACTACAGGGGCATGCCACTGTTCCCAGCCGTTAGAGTGGGCCAGGAAATGAGCCCAGCCCGTCTGGCCTCAGCTCTCTGTAGCAGATACTACAGCTGGGCCAGCGCTGCTTCGATGGCGACAAACCAGAAGCCACTCCAGCACCCAGCGACGGCAGAGTGGATAAACTGGGAGGGCGCACAGGCAGATACCATATGTTGGGTCATCCGAAGAGTCGTGACATATTTTTCCACGTTTTTCTATGCATCATGACTTGCAGATACCATATGTTGGGTCATCCAAAGAGTCTTGTCGTATTTTTCCACGTTTTTCTATGCATCATGACTTTTCCAACGACCCAATAGCAGTAAAATGAATGAACCACATTACACTTAACATCCTTGGGAGAAAAACAAAGCTCCAGAAAAATGTGATTCTGTCCACATAAAGTTCACAGATCTGCACGGTTACATGAATTGGTCAGGGTTACAAATACAAATGATAAAACAATTAAGAAAAACAAGGAATGCTAAAACACAAAATTCAGGATAGTGGTCACGACCAAGGGGAGATGGGAACAGTCAGGTCCTCAGGTGTCACCATGAGCCCTCTTCCCTCCCCCAGGTGGCAGGCCCTGGCATTCACAGTCTGATGACCTCTTAGACTTTGCATATGTCTTATTTTTTCTTTATTCATGATAGAGCATGTGCATGAGAGAAATAGGAACACCCTCCCCAGGCCCGGTGACACCTCAGTCTACCTCCTTCAGTCCTCCAGGCCACTGGATCTCACGATCACGGGCCACTGTCTTTCAGGCTGCCTGGGCCAGAGATTTGAACCGGTCACCATGTGGGGTGTGGTTCTCTGGAGCAGCACATCACCTCTGCACCAGAGCTGGCCCTACTTTGCGTATATTTTAGAAATGCAAGGGGACTTCCAAAAAGTTCTTAGAAAATGGGAATTAAAGTACGGGTTTAATGGGGCCAGCAGGTGGCGTAGTGGTTAAGGTGCTGGACTCACACGTGGCCAACTGCCGTTCGGGTCCTGGATCCGGCAGCTTGAGCATCTCACCAGGCATGTGTGCATGCATGCCCAAAGTCCTGAGAAGACAATGGAGGAGGGACTGCCGCGTGGTCGTCCTCCCTGGGGGAGGGTTGACTTCTCACTTTGGCTCTCACTGTCTCTCTCTCTTTCTGTCCCTCTCTCTGGTGAGCACACACACCCCATGGTAAAACATAAAAAACTTAATTGATTAATTTAAGAAAACATAAGCCTCAGCCAGGCCACTCAGAGAGAGAAGAGAGGGAGAGCTCCCCGCAAAGGGGAAAGAACATGGACGAAAGCTCCTAAAGGACAGAACGGCGTCTAGAAAACGAAGATGGAGCTTTAGAAACAACAGGAAGGGGACTGAGAGCAGCAGATAAGGTCATACAGTCTCCAGGTGCCGTCTAAGGAACGGGGGCTTTATCCTGAGAGCCAGGATGACGGCGGAGGGGGCTGGCAGAGGGGCAGGCCGAGGCCTGCATGCTGGACTGGCTTTGCTGTGGGCGCTGTGGAGACGGCTGTTAGTGGAGGAGACGGTGAAGAGGCTATCCTTGCACAACGTCCAGGGAGGAAGGAGAGGGGCTGAACAGGCCCAAAGACGCGGGCGTGGGGAAGACGGCAGGGACGGGGGCGGGGCGTGGTACCTGTGCAAGGCCGAGAAGAGACTGCTGGGGCTCAGTAGCAGAGGGCCCTGGGGCAGCACCGTGCCCCTCTCGTTGACCCAGTGCAGGTAGCCCCGCGTCATGTCCGCCATCCCGATGGCGCGCGCAGAGCAGTAGAGGAACTTGTAGCCGTTTCTGAAAAAGACAGAGCGACGGCATCTCAGGGCACCGTGGAAGAACTTCTCTGTGCTCACACACCTCGGCTACTGGGTCGTCGGAAACGTCATGATGTGTTTTTCTATGGCTTTCTATGCAAACATGCATTATGGCTTTTCCGACAACCCAATAAATCCATTCCATGAAGAATGGGCCGTTGCCAGTTCAGCCACACATGAAGGTCCATGTCCCGTGCAGGCTGACTGTCATCTGAGAAGAGCCCACACACATTTCACTGGCGTGCACGCAGTGCTTCCACACGCCCCACCCGGTTTAATCTTCATGGGGACAAGGTTGGGCATCTTCCCCTGGTTTTACTGCTATGGACCCCAAGGTTCAGATGGATCACACTGGCCACGCTCCCTGCACCTGCACCCCTCACACCTCCCAGTCCCTGCTACTGAGGAGGGCTACCCGCTGACTGTGATGGGGCCCACCCACCTGTCACCTCACACAGCTCGCTCCGGCACTGGGCCATCTCCATATTACACACCCCCACAGATCCCCCTCTACTGGGTCACTTCCTCCGCACAAATATGCTACAGTCCCCTCGCCTCATTCTAAAAACGAAGCAAGCCTAAACCACCTAAAACAAAGCAAAACCTCCACAGACCCCCTCCAGCTGGGACCCCATTTCTATGTTTCCTTTTGTAGCAAAATTCTTTCAAAGAGCTGCACAGGCCTTGACTCCACTTCATCACTCTCCTCGCCCCAACCCACCCTCCAAGTAGGCTCTTGCTGTCCTTGTAAAGGTCTCCAATGCCACCCACCTCGCCAAGGCCTGGCACCGATTCTCAGTTCTCACGGAACAAGCTTCTCGGTAGCACCTACCAGAGGTGCCCCTTCCTCCAGACCCTGTGTCTACTCAAAAAGTACAGGCCCCGGGCCCCGGAGTGTATTTTCTCCTCACACCCTCACTGCGCAGGGAGCTGGGATCTGCCCCACTTTCATGGACGTTCACACTGAAGCAACGTAAACACTCCTCCGAGATACAGCTTTGTAGCCGCAGTGGGTCTCCATTCCACTTTTTCAATCATTGAAAATTTAGTGTCCAAAATGAGATGTGCTCTAAGTATAAAATACGAAGGGTCTTCAAGAAACTCATGGGGAGACTAGTAGGTAGCATAATGGTTAAGTCACTGGACTCCCACATGTCTGGACTGCAGTTCAAGTCCCAGACCTGGCAGCTTGAACCGCACACAGGGCATGTGTGCATGCATGTCCAAAGTCCCGAGAGGAGAATGGAGGAGAAGGGATTGCAGTGTGGCCATCCCCTCCTGGGGGGTGATTTCTCGCTTTCTGGCTGTCTCTCCCTGTCTCTCTGGCAAGCACATGTGCCATATAACAAAAAGTCTCCAAAAAGAAAAAGAAGTTCATGGAAAACATCTATGATAAACAAACCATGCATAGATTTTTCCATTTTTTGCACCAAAATAAACTTATACTAGAATTCCATTTCCCACAAACTTTTTGAAGCCCTCTTACATTATAGATTTCAAAGTCTTACTATTAAAAAAAGAATGTAAGACACAGTCCGTGAATTACTGAATTGGTTACGTGTGCACGTGATCACACGCTGATATACTGGACTACCTAAGTATATACTACGTGTTTTAACCATCCATAGACAGGTACCTCCCAAATGTGTGTTTCCAGTCCAGGTGCCTCTCACACGCTCCCGGCCATTTTATCCAATTGCAGACTCCACGCTACTTACTAGATGGAAGCCGATCTCGAGTTTATCTAAAAGCAAGCATGCCCCAACAACTCCCGCCCTCCCACCTCAGCAAATGGACTCTCGCTACCCAGGTGTGTGGCCAAAACCTCAGCCCCCACCCCCTCCCTGGTTTCTATATTCTTCACAATCACCCCCTAGCCCCCATTAGCAGGTCCCCTCAGCACCCCGGACTCGGCACCCCGGCGCCTCCCCAGCCATCCCCTCGGCACCCCGGCGCCTCCCCAGCCATCCCCTCGGCACCCCGGCGCCTCCCCAGCCATCCCCTCGGCACCCCGGCGCCTCCCCAGCCATCCCCTCGGCACCCATAACACTTACTCTAACCTGCGCACCCCCGCAGCCTGCCCGACTCTCCCTTAGTCACCCCAGCACCCTCCTCAACTCTCCCCTTGGCACCCCAGCACTCCTACCTGCCCACACCACTAAGGCGTCGGGGCCCCATCACTGCCATGGCCTAGAACCATACTCCCCACCTCCACCAAGTTCCCACACAAAACCTAAGAAAGCTTTTTCGTCAGCTCACGGTCAAGTCCTTCTCAAGGCTCATCATCTCTCTCAAACAACCTTCTCTGCCACGGCCCCTGCCCTCTCTGCACACCCAGCTGTGAGGGCCGCGCAGCCCCTCGCTCCCCACGGCCACACTCATGTCCCTACTGTTCCTCCGGCTCGCCGAACGCCCTTCTGCTCGGCGCGTTTGCCTGCGCTGCTCCTTCTGCCCGGAGACTCCTCCCCAGCCTTCACGCCCTCCCCTCGGCTCGGTCTCTGCTCAAGTCTCACCCCCTCAGAAAGCCCTTCCCTTGCTTCCTCCAGCGTCTGTCATGAAACACTCTCTCACTGCGCACTTGGGCACTGGCCCAATGCGCTTTGCTTTCCCTCAAGGCACGCATCACAGTATCACATCGTCTTGGGTCGTCGGGAGAGTCGCGGTGCATTTTTGCATAGAAAAATACGTCACGATTTTCCCGATGGCCTAACAGTTGTCTGACTATTCCTCTTTAATTCGTGAACTCCTGGAGGAGAGGACTTTGTTCCAAGCCTTCATGGCCTGAGTGTCCGCCGTGTAGCCGCCTCCCAGGGCCTGCGTGCCCAAGAGCACGCCCACGGCCGGCTTCCCTCTCATGCACGGTTCGACCAGGAGTATTTCCCAGCAGCCAGAGGACTTGCCTCTAAAGCAGCTTAATCATATGTTCTCTAAAACCTAAACGCAGAGAGAAACTTTGACACAAAGAGAATCTAGAAATATCACCTTGTTTGGAATCTGGAAAATCAAGTGACCTTTATCATTTCTAACCTTCTTTATATCTTAGCTGTCTGATGAATACAATCTTAAAAAGAAAAGGCGCTATCTCTGCACACAGTTCTTCACATCAAAGTCCTGAAAGCTGCCACCTGCAGGGACCTGAGATGCTAATTTTATTCAAAACTCGATTTTCAAATCCACTTGCTGGTTTGATCATGGCACTAAGTTGTTCTCACCATGCAAGTATTCCGCTTCAAAGGCCACTACTAAACCTCGCTGCAAAGTCAGCTCAAGGGGGGCCTCCTGAGGGAAAAGCTGGCTGATGGCAG